TTAGGCAGGTGACTGGCCCATGGGGGTGCTATAGGTGTGATACTAGGAGCTGGGGCCTGGTGGAAAGGGGCAGGTCACTGGGAGACTGGACTGGAAATGAGTACCTCCTGCCCTCGTTTCCTTCTTCACTTTCTGATTCCTGGTCACCATGACACAAGCAGCTTTCCTTTACCAGTTCTTTCTAACCAGACTTCCTGCGTTACAGCCAGCTGACTTTGGACTAAAAATGTGAGCCAAAATTAGCCTCTCTTTTCAGTTGTGGATGTTGGAGATTGTGTCTTAGTGATAAGATGAGACTGTGGTATGGATGGTCACTCATTTCACTGAGTGCAATCCTTTTTTTCCTTTGGTAGTACTGGGGATTGAACCCATGGACTTCACATTGAACTATATCCCCAGATCCTTTTCCATTTTTATTTTAAGACAGGGTCACGTTAAATTGCCCAGCCTGAATTGGAGTTTGCAGTTTTTCTGTCTCAGCCTCCCAGAGTGCTAGGATTACAGGTGTGTACCACCATACTCAACTCAACTCACTGCTCTTTAGAGAGAAGAGGGACTTCTTTGGGAGGCCCTGTTTTTGCTCTGGGAGAATAGTGTCCCTGGATTCTTGGCCTCCCCTAGGCAATCTGATGATGGCAAAGGGCAAGAATACCTTCTCCTGCCTCCCCTCTGCCAGGGCTTGTGCCCCAGGGATGGAAAAGGTCTGTGGGTAGAAAGCTGTGGATGTGGGACTCAGAGCTCTGGCCATCTGGATGGGCTCCAGTTCCAGCTCAGCTATGAAAGAGCTGACTTCTGCTCTTTTAGCCTCAGTTTCCTAATTTGTAAAATGGAGGAGATGCAATTCAACTGTCAGAGCAGTTTATTTTGTTGCTATCACTAAAGCTTTTTGTCTCTATGCATTTTTTTCTTTAGAAACAATCTGATTGAAACCAGAGCATATACCAACATAAGCAACAGCACATTTTCCAATTGTCCCAATAAAAAAGAGAAATTCTTTTTGCCACAAAATATCATGATACAGGTGGCTCGAGGACAGAGGTTTATTTTCCCACAGTTCTGGAAGGTGACCAGACCACTGCAAGTTTGGTTTCCAGTAAGGGGTCTCTTCTGCCCCATAAATGCCTCCTTTCCAACGTGTCCTCACTTAACTTTCCAGAGAAAGGTAAGAGCTCTCTGGTGTCTCTTTGTTTTATAAGTACCACACCCTCATGACCTTATTTCATCTTAATTACCTCCATAAAGTCCCAGTCTCCAAATACAATCACAGGGAGAGTTTGGAGCTGTAGCATATGAGTTTGGTGGGGGAGGGAGACACAGTTCAGTCTATAATGAGCATTGGGAAAACAAGAGCGGTGCTCTGCAGCCATTTTTGCTCATGGCGGCAGTGTAGCAGATAAGCTACATATCTGATATGTTAATTTGATGATGCAAAGAGCCTCTTTATTTTCAGTTTACAATACGTATATTGGGTAGCTTAGTACCAAATTATCAGTAATTTTTTCATGCTTTCTCTTTCTACCCATTTCTCTTCAGTTTCCTATTCTTGGCCTTCTGGTTGTTAGGCTTAGTATCCTGAAAAACAGACTTCTTTTCAAAGGATATGTGATCTTATTTCACATATAGTTGAACTTTTTTTTTTTAGTATCTATTTCTGGAAAAACAGAAGTCTACAACAATGATGATGATAATAATGACAATAATACACTTTTGTCTTTCTATTTTAGCTAGGTAATAAATGTCAATTATCAAAAATCCAGGAGAAAAAGAAATCTGAGCTTCACTGAGTGCTTACTATGTGTCTGGTATAATAATCCTAGGCCTTGCAAGTGCAGAGTTGTGAGTTCCATTCCTGGTACCAAAAAAAAAAACCAAACAAACAAACAAAAAAAAAAAACCACAAAACACAAAAAATCCTAGGCCTTGTGCATCATTTGCTCATTAAATACTCACTGTAGACTATATCATATCCATTTACAGATAAGGAAGTTGAAGGGAAGTAATTTGCCACAGTTGTACGCTCCCTCCCCCACTTTGAATTGAGAAGCCAGGCTTCTCAAAGACATCCGTCCCAGAGAAAAGTTGGATATGTTTTTATGCACACAAAAGTTACCCTTAGGGCTAGGGGAGCTATGATGATTGTCATCATTTTATTTATAAGACGTATACATTTAAGGACACATCTTTTAGGAGTTACTGTGCAATGTATGTATCTCAAAAATGTCTTTCTTATTCCTGCTTTGATGGTCTGTGTTTCCTTAGGAGCCTTAACCACATGAGTCTAAATTGGTTCTCAGTTCAAGGAAGGAGGGTCCTTAAAGAATGCTCTCCTTTCTGATATCATCAGGCCATAGAACATAGCAGCCAGGAAAGCTTAATGCCTCGTTTTGGAAATAAGACACCTAAGCCTTGGTGGAAGGAATATGTACAATGAGTAACACTAAACTGTCACTGTGCTCTGTGAGATCACTTCAGCTCTGAAACATAAATGATTATAAACGTGTTATCCATGGAAGTTTCTGTTTCTTTACTTAACTAATTTTTAAAGTATGCTATTTCAGACTCTTTTCCCCTTTGTCTCTTAGGCTTGCTAACAGTTGCATGTGGATAAAATTTTAAAATAAACAATGTATGTGGTAAATAGTAAGTCTTGTTTCATCTTGTCTTATAGTGTCTCCGTTTTTTCCCCCAGAGAAACTATGACACATTTCCTTGTCTTTCCAGAGACATTCTATGAATTTACAAGGACATATATGTGCATACACACACTTAAAAAAGACAAATGGTGGTATATATTAAACCCTTTGAACTTTGCCCTTTTTTCAGTAAACAACATATGGTGGTGCCTCTGTACCCGCAGAGGATTAGTTTCATGATCCTCTGTGGATACCTACATCTGGATGCTCAAATCTCATATATAACATGTCCTTGTATTTGCACAGAACTCACATACAGTCTCCCATATTCCTTAAGTCAGCTCTAGATTATTCACAGGACTTAATACAGTGCTAATGTGACATCAATAGTTGTTTTACTGCATTGCTTAGGGAAGAATGACTCCGAGAATATCTGTATGTTTTTAGTACTGATGCAACCCCTTCCCCAATATTTTCAATAGGGGATCAGCTGAATTTACAGATTCACAAACCAAGGATACAGAAGACTAACTACTTCTCTTTGAAAAGAGCAGAACTGAAAAATTAAAGGCTGAAGAGTGAGAAGACTTTTCCTGCTTAATCTTTCAACTGAATTTTTTTTCCACCATGTACATGGATTCCTTTCTTAAAATTAGAAATTACACAAGCAAAGAAACTTCTGTATATTCTTAATATTTGAGTGAATGTCTCTAAAGTTAATTTAAAGAAAATGAACTCAAGGTCAATCTACTTGTTTTACTTTTCTGGCTTGTTCTTTCTTTGTTTTGGGGGGAGGAAGGGTACCAGGGCATGCACAGCTGTAAAAGTACTGTACCACTGAGCTACCTCCCCAGCCTGAATACCTAGCTCTTCAGGAACTTTGCACCAACATCTACTTCTAAAGTAACCTTTGGATTGGGTGCAGCTACCTAAAACCAACATACCACTAACATGAAAGGTTTTTCCATTGTCTGTGAAATGTAGAATCCAAGTTTTGGGGTAAAAGTTTGGCTACGATCTGGTGGTCTCAGTTTGAACAAAAATAACCTTTGATTACAATTTCTTTGTAACAAGTTTTAGAGTTATATTATTAACAGATTTAAAAAATCAGAACCATACTTATTTTATAGATGAGAAACTATCAAAACAGTAAAGTACCTACCTAGAAATAAAGGGATACTCACTCCAGTTTTTTCTCCATTACAAAACAGTCTTAACAAATATTGTATAAATATTTCATTCATTTTATTTGACACAAAGAGGGGATTGTCTGTATCAAGACTGGAGAAAAACAGAGAAAATAAGAAAAGCAATTATAAATCTTAAACATGTAATAGATGCATGTGTGCTTGTTTCAAATTTAGAAATTAAATTTTGGCAGAGGAAAAGAACAAGAAGTCAACCCTCCCTGCAAGTTGGTGCCATGCATGGGCTGCTAGGGTGAGAACTAGATGCCAGCCTTTCTCCATCAGTCTGTGCCATTCATGGACTGCGGGGCAGTGCGGGGAGAACAAGAAGTCAACAAGAAGCAAGCCTTCTCTGTGAGTCAGCACCATGGACAGGCCACTGAGGGGGAAAACCAGATGCCAACCCTTTCCATCCTATGGGCCAGGAGACAAGAAAAGCCAACTCTACTTACCCCCAGCCATATGTGACCAGCTGATCAGGAGAAACAGGCTACAATTATAGGTATTGAGGTGAAATACAACTTAATGCTTGCAGTGTTTAGTGTTTCACTGACTATGTGAGTCTAGGTAGTATCATCATCTATTCAGGGGGATAAAAATACACAATATAGCATCCACAGGGATCTTCTTCTGAAGGTAGTAGCCATTGTTAATTTCCTGTTATCTTGTTTTGAAGTCCTGTATCATTTCCACTGTTTTGTTGGGTTGGTCTTATGGTTGATACATTGTGCCAACTTGAGAAGTTTAGAAGTTTAACTGAGAAACTCAGCAGAGAGCCAGAATCCTCACTTTATAAATATCTTCATCCTATGCAGGAGGGCCCAGAGATTTTGTGCTATGGCTGTCCTGGAGGTGTGTGTGTAGGGGAGGGGGAGGGGATGGCCTGTGTACAGTGTAAGGGAGGAAATGAGGCTTGCTCTTCCCCCTTTTGCTCTGGCTGCTGCCTTGATGTGCTGCCCCAGTGCCACGCCACCCTGCCTTGCAGCCAGCTGATTCTGGACTGAAACCTCCAAAACTGTAAGATAAATAGCCCCTTCCTTCCTTAATTTTGGGTGTTGGGTATTTTGTCCCAGCAATGAGAGAAAAGTAAGGAAGACACTTGGGTTTTATTCTGGTTTGATTTGTTTCATTTTATTATATCCAATGGCATGGGAAGCTATTTCAAAAACAACAAGACATATTATGGTAGCCATTTCGGATTTATTGTTGTCTTGTTTTGAAGTCCTTTATTACATTCATTGTTTTGTGTTTATTGGTTCTCTTCGGTTCTGTTTGATCTGTACTATGTCTGATTTTACTATGTACAGGCAGCTATTTTGAAGACAAGAGTCATTATAGTAATCATTGTTGATTTCCTATTATCTTGTTTTGAAATCCTGTATCACAGTGCTTTTTTTAATTGGCCTTATTTTATTTTGCTTGGTTTTATTCTCTTAAAAATAAAAATCTTAAAAAAGAAATTAAATTTTAGAGATAGTTGGAATTTCTGAAAGTATTCCACCTGGACAAAATACATGAAAAAGACCACAGAGTTCGCCTGTGGGATAGGAAGATAAGATTTACCTGAGTAAAGGGCAGCATTAAAAACCACCCGAAAAGGATGTGGGTGTAGGGAACAGAAGAATGTTTCATGAGAAATCTGTAGGCAAATCCAGATTTAAATCCAAAAGAGACTTAATTTTCTTAGTTTCTTGAGTCTTCCCTCTGAAAAGTAGTGGAGAATAATAGTGTTAGTAACACTGAACTTAGTCAATAGCATATATTTGTGTAATTCTTTCAGTTTTAGAATTGTTATTTTTAGACCATTAATTTACTTTAGGGTTTTGTTTTTCTTGTATTAAACTTTAGAAATACTTTTATTTTAAATAATTACTAACAAGGGGCTGGGGATTTAGCTCAGCGGCATAAAGTGCCTGCCTTGCAAGCAGGCAGTCTGTGAGTTCGATCCCCAGTACCAACAAAAAGGAAAACGACAAATAATAATAATAATAATAATAATTACTAACAGAAAAATTGTTTAAAAAGTTCAGAGAAATTCTACATATGCTTCATACATTTACAGATGTTAACATGTTTATCACTCTTGCCCTAACAATTGATAATTTTTAAATGCTTGAAAGTGAATTGCAGATGTGGTATATATTTTCTAAAAATAAGAGTACAGCTTTGCATAAATTAAATACAACGACAGAAATCAGGAGAGAAACATAAATCCAAAAATACTGCCAAACACTTTTGGCAAGGGTCTTTGACAGCAAAACATAAATTTTTTTCTCATGCAAGAGCTAACTCAGGTCATGTGTTATGTTAGTTGTAATGCTTCTGTAGCTGTCTCTCTCTATCTTGCTATCTGTCTCTTTTTTGATTTATCTTTTTCCATGGTCCATTCTGGCTTTGAATTTTTAATCCTCCTGCCTCAGCCTCCTGAAAACTGGGATTACAGATTTGTGCCACCACACCTGGTGGCACACAAATTCTTTGAAGAGCATTATTTTGTAAAATGATTGCTAGATTTGGATTTGTCTGATATTTCTTCATGATCTGCATTCCTCAGGTTATGAAGACTAGATGGAAACATCACAGAAGTAAAGGAATGTTTTGCCCAGTGTATCCCGTCAGTAGCAGACGATGTTGATTTGTCCCTTTACTGGTGATATTTAAGCACTTGATGAAGGGGGTGTTTGTCATGTTTCTTTACAAAGTTATTATTTTTTTCCTTGTAATTAATTAGGATCTTGTGAGGAAACTGATTAAGGCTATGGAAACAGCCTGTTTCTCTATGGAATTTCTCCCACTACTTTTAATATCCATTGATATTTTTATGGCAATACTCAGTATTAAATCTAGGTCCTTTGCACTAAGCTACATCATTAGCTCTTTTAAAAATATATTTTTATTGTGAGACAGTTCTCAGTAAGTTGGCCAGGCTGGATTCAAACTTGTAATACTCTTACCTCAGCCTCACAGAGGTTGCATGTGTGTGCTAACTGACTGATCCATTGACGATTCTTGGCTAGCACAAGTATTACTATTGCCAAATAATTATGATTTCATTATTTCTTCTATCTTTATTAAAAAGAATTCTACTATAAAGAAAAACTGTCTCTTATCTCATTAATTATTCATTTCAGGATGATTTTGTAGACTCATTTTTTCAGTAGGTTATAATCTACTATCAATATTTTTATTGGCTCAGATTTACCCACAGTGAGCCCCTTCAGCAGATTCATGTGCTCTTTAACACTTTTAGTCATTTTTTTGTGAATTTCCTTACTTTCAGGTACAGTCAGCTATTTCAGGCTTTGCTATTAAGTGTTAACATTTTAAAACAAAACATAAAGTTTTCTTAGGTTTATGAAATATTTATTTAATTCCAACAAATGGGGAAGATGTCATTGCGATGGAAATGTTAATCAAAATGGCCACACCTGGGGCAGGGGGATGAGTCCTTCCCCTGCTCTCCATGTGTTGTGACTCCACCTAGAGGTTTAGGGTGGGGGTCACTTCCTATTTGCAGGTACAGGCACTCATGGTGGGGTAGCTAGAGGGCTCTAATGCTCTTCTCTGCTGCTGTGAGTTCAAAGAATGTGAGTGCTCCTGCTCTGCCTTTCTCTGTCAGAATAATGTGGGCTAGGTTGGATGGAACTCACCAGTCTCTACAGAACTGAAATGACTGTACTCTTCATGTTGATACTGGTTCAGGAGCTCAAACGACATCTCATGGCATCTCTGAAAACACAGCACATAAAAATGTGAGAGGAGTGGCATCACATGCATTGGGACCTTAGGTCTACACACACACAAAGGTCCCAAAGCAAATGTACAAAATGACCTCCTTGAATATAAACTCCTAGGACGGCTGAAGTAGTATATCTCACATGTTTTATAAGCAAATACAATGGATGCTATTACTCTGTTAGTTACTTTTCTTTTGTTTCTGAGACAAAAATACCTGACACCCAAAGTTAAAGGAGGCAAGGTTTATTTAGTTCACAGACTGTAAAGGTTTCAGTCCACAGTCAGCTGACTCCAAGGCTGGGTGGTTTGGCAGAAACACAACACAGAAGAAATCCAGTTCATGGCAAACAGAAGGCAGCAAAGGCATCAAGGAAGGGGAAGACAAGCCTTGTTCTGTCCCTTATCTTGTATCTAGGCTACCAGGATTAGGGTGATGCCAATCCAATCAGTGGACTGATTTAGTAATCACCACCCTTGAATAACACTCTAACCTTAATCCCAGCATTGTACTCTGACTCAATCACAATCTAAATTTAGCAACCTCTAAAAAAGCCCCACCCATGATCACATGAGGCTTTGGAGGGACATCTAGATACAAACCATAACAATCACTGAAACTCAGTTCTTAGCCTTCATTTATAAAGTTGGTGTTAAGAATTGGACATGAGCCTCCTGTTCTGGTGGTTGTATGCATCATGATATTGCCAGTGAGTGACATAAGAATGGTGGTTTGCTTTGGCTGCAGGAGGAGGTAGCTCAGTGACAGATCCTGCTCTTTGGCAGGATCCTAGCATTTTCCTAGGACATGTGAAGCTGGGTTCAGTCTCCAGCACTGGGGAAAATTTTCTGCTTATTTTGCCTTGGAGCATCTTGTACATTTAAGCTTTTATTGTCCAAATCCCTTCCATGGCTGAGCACTTCTCTATCTGTGCTTTAGCCCGCATTTAAGAATCATGCAGAAGAGCATGGTGGTGCATGCCTGTAATCCCAGCACTCTGGGAGACTGAGGCAGATGGATTGCAAAGTTGATCATAGCTCAGGCTGTCTCAAAAATAGAAAAAGGGTGATGGCTGTGAGGTGGGGATCTGAAATAGGAGGAATGTTGCCTAGGTAATGAGGCATATATGTCCCATTTCAGGTATGTGAAAGAGTAAGAATTTGGGGCTTGTGTAGTTTGGAGGTGAGGTCTCCAGACTGTCCACCTCTACATGTTCATACATTACTGCCAGCTGTTAATAAATTAATGATTGGATAATGTCATTTATTATTGTACGTTGACAGTAACCTGTGTTTTGCTGTGGTTTTGTTTGCTGTCGTGTTTCACCATTCCAACTAGGTATACAGGCTCTTTGTGATCCCTTTCCAACTGGCACAGAAGCTACTGAGAACCTTTGAGGAAAGCTTAAGCTCAGCCTTAAGGTTGTGATGTGTCCTTTGGGACAGAAAGGCAAGAGATGATCATGTGATGGCTGTGGTGGGGAAGAGATTGAGAGTGAACAGCTCAAAGCATGGAAGTGGCAGTGATGTGGAGCTTATTTCTTTAAGAAGTTTTAACTCTGCCTGGAGCCAAACAAGAAAATGCACATTCACATAACTATTGAGATTCGCACACAGAGCTAACTGAAGATTAAAAAAAAAATACCATCATTTTTGCTCATGTGACTCCTGCTCCCACAATAACTTTCAGCTCTTTGTTTAAATAAAATGTATTTCTCTATACGCACTCACTACAAAGACCACCTTTTTTTTTTTTCCTGAAGCTTTTCCTACCATCCTAAACAACAGAATTGACGATTTCCTTTCTTAAACACCCTATACTTTTCATGGCACCTGTAGTATTTTGATTAATCTTTCCTGTTTGCATATCTTCTCTTTACAAGACTCTAATATCTACGGCCACGGAGAGTATCTTACAGCTTTTAAATTTCAAGAGCTTTGCACTGTGCTTGGTTTATAAAGTGATCATAAGACTTGGTCTGTGCCTGTTAACCTGCCTTAATTACTAACTACACTATCTTTTACAAGTGTTTACTTGGCAGATAAATTATACGGTATCCTCCAAGCTTCACAAATGTTTGAAAGAGTGAATTAAATGTTGAGGATATAGTTCAGTGGTAGAGCATTTGCCTAGTATGCATGAGGCCCCGAGTTTAATTCCCAGTACTTTAAAAAAAAGAGCCCTTAATTAGTCTTAGAATCTAAATACTTATTACGGTAATATACATACATATTGCAGAGCTGGGCAAGGTGGCAGATGCCTGTAATCTAAAGACTGAAGCGGGAGGATATCAATGTAGAGCCCAGCCTGGGCAACATAGTCTCAAAATAAAAAAAAAACAAAAATGGTGAGTTCGATCCCTCGTACTGATTTTAAAAAAAGGCTTGAGGATGTAGCTCAGTAAGTTGTAGAGAGCGCCTGCGTTCCAGATCTAGTACAAACAAACAAACAAAAAACCCAAAACCCGTCTCTCTATCCCTTTTTCTCTTCCTCCCTTCCTAAATATATACGTGGTGCTTACAATAACTGTCATTTTCCCTTAGTCTCACTGTTCCCTGATTTAACATTGCTTCAAGTTACCTCAGGTAGCGCGGCACTCAGTTGTCTTTTGGACTCATTGTCTCAGAGTTTGCAGTACCTTGAGGAAAATTTCTTGATGCCAGTCTTTCAAAAGTTAAAAGAACTAGTGAAAACCAGTTAGCCACACAATACAGGCTGAGATGCAACAACAAAAATTCTGCAAAATAACACCTTACACCAGATCACTGCCCAGTCATATCTAACTGTAGATAACCTCAATCGGCGGAAACCAGGTTTGCTTTGCCCAAAACAAAAATGGTCCCCGTCGGCGTCAACGCCCTTTCCGCTGCGGACCAATCCGACTCTACGATTCAGGACGTAGGCATTCTCACTTCCGTTTGCCCTTCGGGACCTCTTAACTTCTGTCAGTGAGTCGCCACTATCTGCCAGCTACTCGGACAAATTTTGTGGCCAGAGCAGTGAGGCTGAAGACAGCAGGGGGAATGAGTGCTGCACGGACGCTGCGGGTGCCGGGCCGCCATGGCTACGCGGCCGAGTTTTCCCCGTACCTACCGGGCCGCCTGGCCTGCGCCACCGCGCAGCATTACGGCATCGCGGGTGAGGCCGGGTCGCGCCGCCTGGGCTAGGGATCGCGGGAACTCGCCGCCGAGTGGGCGGGGCCGCTACAAGTGGGCGGGGCCTCTGGCGGATGCCAAGGGTGGTGCTGGAGGCAGTCTTCTGCTCGCCCTGTGAGCGAGCTTGGAGAGCTGGTCCAAAATGGTGTGTGATTCTGTACCAGTTAGAGTGTAGAAGAAGCTTAGTACCCAGGTCCTTGTTCGTGGAGATCGTACTGTCATCTTGGCCGACACACACGCGTACACGCCTCCTGTGAATAGGGGGGTGAGCCTGGGCGGCCCCTCCGACCGGCCCGAGGTGCAGACAGCGCTAGCGGGTCCCCCGCCGGTCACTCTGGTACCTCCGCGGTAGCTGCTTCGTGGTGCCTCGCAGTTTGTTCGCGCACAGAGCAGAAACGTGCGTGTTGTTTCCCGGCTCTAGTGAAATATTAGCAACTTGCACCCTCGCCTTTTGTCTCACGGGGAACGTACACGTTTGAAAGCAGTTGTTTTTGAGAATTTGTTATTACTGTACGTTTGCGACACATCATAAATAACATGCATCATGGGAGGCTGGGCCATCTACACATAACGAAAAGCCATTGTTAGAAGCGCAAGCTAATAGGTCTAACCGTGGACTAGATGGAAAGGTGCGGGCCCATCCTCGATTTTGCTTTCTTTTAATTAACATCCTAGCAATTATTTACTCAAGTCCCAGCTACTGTTTGCACAGCGGAGCAGTGCAGTGAGTCATTATGTAATGTCAGCGATCCGTGGTATTTTTTAAAGTCCTACAATGGAAAAAAAAAAAATGTGCTTTCTAAAACTTAGAGGGAAATACTTTATTTTACCATCACCTTATTTAGAGGTGGCACAATCATGTTTACAATCCTTGCCCACCAGTTAGATTGAATATTCATAAACCTGTAACATGACTTTAAATTTTTTTGCAAAAATTCCTTAAAAGTTTTTGAAAAACAGTCATATTAAGTAACTCCTCTCTTGATCTCTGTAAGGATAAATATATCTTTTAAGGGACATTAGCTGTATAGAAAAATAATTCATATTGAACAAGACATTAATATTGTTTTCAGCACTATATCACCAAGTATTTGGTAGTTCCACATTGATACTTTGTCTTAAAATTACATGGATGCAGACAGGTGTGTTAGCGCACTCACTTAATCCCAGCTCTCAGGAGACTGAGGCAGGAGGATCGTTCTAAATTCGATACCAGACTGCTACAAAGTGAGCCCAAGGGCAGCCTGAAACTGCATAGTGAGATCTTATCTCAAAAAGACACAAAAACAAAACAAAAAAATTAAATAAATCAATAAAATTACATGGATGTATTTTATTTACATTTATTGCTGAGGCAGAGTGATTTAGTGGAAGAATCCAGGTATGGGGTTCTGTAAGCCTGGGATTTGTCACCTGTCAGTAGAAATGCTAACACCAGCTTGGTAAGTTTGCATGGCTGGCACCATGGCTGGTCAGAGCAGGCACGTGAGCGTTTTCCTTTCTGTTAGAACTGTGTCTAGATTCCAGTCGGAGGTGAGATGGTAGATTGAATATTCAGTTCCTGAGACACAATATGAAAAACAACCAGCTCAGTTCTGACAGTAACTTTAGGGGGAAATTTGTGGTTGTAAAATCAGGTACTCAGCTTGACACTGTATTTCTTTGGTCTTAGATGTTCCTGGCTTAGTTATGTTTCTTGTTGCTGAGACAAAATACTTCACAACTAGAGTTAAAGGGGTGAAGATTTATTTATGACACAGTTTGTAAAGGTTTCACTCCGTAATCAGCTGGCTCCTAGGTAGGGTGGCACCATAGATGAGAAACAGTTCATGGTGGGCAGAAGGTAGTAAAACAAGCAAGGGACAAAGCAGGCCTCTTTCTCTCCCTTGTATTGTATCCAGGCTCTCGGGATTTGGCACTGCCAAACCAATTAGTGGACTGATTTAGGAATCACTCCCTCTTAATCCTAGCATTATAGCATGAATCAGTCACACACTCTAGATTCAGCCACCTCTGAAAAAGCCCCACCTATAACTGCAAGAAGCTTTGGAGGAACATCTAGATACAAGCCATAATAGTCCCCCCTGGCAGGTCCAATAGCATAACCTTGGTTGTTTTTTTTCTTTCTTTAGGTTGTGGAACCCTACTAATATTGGATCAAAATGAAACTGGGCTTGCAATTTTTAGAAGGTAAGGTGGCTTTAATTATTAAACTTATCTATATTCTCTATTGCTGTTAAAGCCTTAATCAAATTAAGTTTTGAATTTTTTTGGTCAATAAAATGTCTTAATCTGAAATATAAAAAGATCTTTAGCACTTGCATAGCATAAAAAAACTTTTTGCCATTATGATATGATTATGCCACATTTCCTCTAAAGCTTACTTAAAGTGTCCATTTATAAGTTATAAGATTTAAGCTTACAAAGTGACCTAATTAAGTATTCTGTAAACAGTGCCTGGCTTTGCTGACTTAATATAGTTTAGGTTTACTCATGCAGGCCCTAAATTTCCATCTTGTGGATGATCCTGCACCTCTCTCTTTTCTTTCCCTTTCCATCTTCCCTAGGTGACTGCCTGTTGTACACATTAGTATTTCCATTAAGTTAGTTAAAGCTTGAGAAAAGGAAGTAAATTATGTCAAAAGATAACTAGCTATACATACCTCAGGTGAAAGATTTATGGGACAAGTGTTCTATAGCTCAGGTGAAAGATTTATGGAAAACTTTGGAATTAGTCTAATTAGTATTTTGATGTACTTGCTGGCCAATTGTGTGATTCATAGAAAATGATAAACTTTCAGGTATGGCTGCATGCCCTGCTGTTAATAGTTCCATATTAATAGTTAAGAGACCTAATTTTAATCTAGTTTTGACACAGTTTCCTACCTGTGTCACCTGGGCTATTCCTTTAGCCTTTCTGATTCAGCTTCTGTAAAGTACTGCTTTACTTATCTTCAAAAATTGTGAAGATTAATGAGACAACATATGTTAACATATGTAGTAAAGTAAAACGCAGAACAAACCCATGTAACATTGTGATTGCCATTTTTTTTTCTTGAATGGTTCTGGTGTAGCTTTGACTGGAATGATGGCCTGTTTGATGTAACCTGGAGTGAGAACAATGAACATGTCCTCATCACCTGTAGTGGTGATGGCTCACTGCAGCTCTGGGACACCGCCAAAGCCACAGGGCCACTACAAGTCTATAAAGAACACACTCAGGAGGTATGAGGAGCAGATTTTTTTTTTTTTTTTTTTTTATTTTGGTTAAGATCCATTTGGGGATGGACACAGGAGAACTATTTTCAGGGAACATGTTTAAATTTTAATGATTCTTACATATGTTAGATGTCATCATTACTTGATTATTCAGAAACAAAGTACCTCTTGGCCTAAGGAACTGGAAAAGAAAATAAAACATCAGGCTACTCCCTTGGTAATAAAAATACCTCTAGTAGTGTACTGTGGCATGGTTCTTTCAGAGAGAACCACTGCTTTCTTCATGCCTTGGAGAGTATGCCTGCCATGCAGTGCCTTGAGACAGAGGTAGTAGAACTTTATACAATGACATCACAAGAATGTCCGTAGGTTTTGGTCAAATTCCTGAGGATTTTCAGAATATATTTGAGCAGGAGCATCAAATAATGAATATGAGGCAGAGCATACCAAAGAAAAATCTGAATCTAGATTTTGTGTACTTATGTATGTGTAGTACGGGAAATAGGCTTGAGTCATTTTAAAAATATATATATTTTCCATGAACATGATAGTGAAGACATGCTCTTTTGGTGTTTCATCTTAAATTTCAAAAATACTTCCTCAGAGTAGATCCTTGTAAATTTGCTTTCAAGTTTTTATTTATCACAGTGCATGTTCTATAGTAAGTCATCAATAAATTCTTATTAGATATAAAAGTATAGTCTTTTTTGATAAAAGTTTAGTTTTGTGAAGGTACTAATGTTTTATATTCACTGTTATTAAACAATTAATATATCTTAGATTAGTACTAAAAATAATGAAAAATTTTACTTAGTCTATTATGTTGTGACTTCTATTTTAATAAATGTAGTTATAAATTACCATGTTTTCAGAAAAATCACTGATTCCTAAGATAACTTTGGTAAAAGAGAAATTTCAATTTCAGAATGTTAAATAAAAGAATCTCTGCAGAGTAACATGCCCAAAATTCATTTTTAATACCTTCATGATTTTTGCCAACTTCTTAATACCCATGTGTTATAAGTAACTTATTATTTGGTGTTCTTTATTTTTAAAACATTTTTTCGTGCAGAAATTATTTTTCTTAATTTTTTTGCTACCTTTTAGTAATTATATAAATTCTAGGATGATAACTATTAGGTCATAAAATGATATCTAGCTACATTAATATTTTCTTTAAATTAACTCTAAATTGTTACTTTGTTCTAAAACAATGATATTCATGAACTCTAGGGTTGGTAGCCATCAGCTATATTTATTTGTTGTTAATATATATTAAGATAAATAATTAATGAATAAAATAAACGTATGCACTAGTTAAAATCATTTCCTGTACAACCAGTGGTGTGTATATACACTCTGGGAAATACTATTCTAGACTATCCCTGACAGATGATAACTCGGCCATTACTTCACCTCAGTGAAAATGAATTTCCCTATTTCAGGAGATAATGTATGTGACTTAGATTGCTCTATTGGTTGAAAAGCCAGATCTATCTTCTATAGTAACCAGCTGTTGCTTCACTTTCTCTGAAGTGGTGAGACCAAGACCAGTGTCCTTTTCCAGTTAGAAACCTTGAATGTAGCCGTCATGCTTCTTTTAGTCTGCCCTCTGCCAAACTGTGCATTGTCATTTCAGTATCTGTACATCTTTTACCTGCTTGGTAACCTCCTTTTGGACTCTCCTGTTTTTCAGTGTCTCTTTTAATATTTGAACTTCTGGCCCTGCTTATATTTCCTGAAATAGCTGTGTATATGTTTCTCTCAGCCATGTCACAGTGATGGATCCCTTTGATTGTACTATATAGCATCTAGATCTTTGTTATTTGAACTGCTGTGTATAATTATGAAACTGGTTTTTTGAACTAAAGATGTAGTTGATTTTGTGTGTGTGTGTTTTTTAGAACCGAGACTCAAATTTATGACCTTGTGCTTGCCAGGTAGGCAAGCTATAATCCCCAGCGTTTGTGTGTGTTTTACAGTCTGTTAACTCTAGATTGTTCTTCTTCATTTTGTTTTCAAATAATTCTTTGGCTGTTAGTGTAATAGAAAGCCCAACTAAAAGTGTTTTCAGTGATTAGATGTTATTATTTTGTGATTACTGTTATTATAGTTTATTGATTTACAAGGCTATGTGAAATAATACTATAAAACAAGTTTTTTAGGTACTTCTTACATCACTTCTACTTTTTGATACTGATTTCTGTCCTTGACAGTTCCGGCCACTATTACAAAGTATTATTGACTGAGTGACTTGTAGGCAACAGAAACTAGTCACAGTTCTGGAGGTTGAATTCCAAGATCACAGTGCCTACATGGTTAGGTTCTGGTCTTTGTATCTTCACATGGTTGAAAGAGAGTAAGGGAGCTTTTAGAAGTCCTGTGTGTCTGTCAATCTAATCTAATCTAATCTAATTTATAATCTAATCTTACTAGAGATTACCCAGGGTGTTACTCATGCTAGGTAAGTATTCTAAAACTTAGCTACATTCCCAGCTCTTTGTCACCAAATCTTGAGACAAGGTATTGTTAAGTTGCTCATGCTAGTTGTAAATTGGTGATTCTCCTGCCTAAGCCTTTCAGGTAGCTGAGATTATACATATAAGTCACCAAGCCTGATAGGAATCTGTTGTAGTCAGGGGTTACAAGGATAACAATTACATACAGGACGTAGAATTTATAATATTATTTTATGATGGTCACCAGAGTTAAATACAAGAGTGCACAAATCTGTCCACAACATTAAAGACCTAGAAAATCCAGCCTAGGGCCTGAAGCCAACAGTGATGTCCGCATGAGTCCAGCTGAAAACCTAAAGTCCGTGACCATGCCTCCCACAAGTCCAACTGGAGGCCCAGAGCCCACGACAAGGACTCATGCAAGTCTGTTTTTTGGATCTGTGCTGGGAATGCTCAAAGATCAGTGGTAGAGGCTAGAAAGTTTATGCCCCTGGTGTGAAGGATCTATGCCAGTAGGTTTGGGTTCTATACTGGAGCCAATAAGCGACACTCAAGATAAAGGTCAGGGCTCCCCTGAAAAGTACCATAGCCACATTCAGCAACAATAAGGTCCTGAGCTCCTCCAACAATGAGAACAGTCAAGTACATATCAGGAAGCCAGCATGACAAGCTTCTCCTAGAAATTAAACAGCAAACACCTTCCCCTTTGGAACCGTGAAATGATGTTCAGTGTAAGGACCAGAGCTCCTCCAAAGTGAACCACAGCCATTCTCAACAAGGTCCTGAGCTCCTCTGATAATAATGGCCAAATCCATATCAGGGAAGCCAGCCAGAACAAGCTCCTCCAGGAGAACTAACAACTCGAAACAATAATAATTAGGAGAACCCAAAAGGCCACGCTCTTCTTCTCCATGTCTCTATGCTGGCAACTTTCCTCAGGTGGGCCATCTACACTCAGCACTATACTGACTTACTTCAAGTGGTGTTAAATTGACCAGTTTTCAATCTATAGCCAAGTATCATTTATAAGGACACTAATCTCAGTCATAGGAACTCCACTTTCAGGGCTTAATTACTTCCGGAAGGTTCTAGCTCCTGTTACTGTCACATTGATGATTAAGATTTTAACATGTGAATGTTTGGGGATTCTATATAGTATATCAAATACTAAGGATTTCAGATCAAGTGAATTTTGAGGAGCTAATATTTATTGACAAATTAATAGCATCAATAATATCAGCTTGCTGATTTTTAATAAAATGTGAAATCCATTAACATTTTTGAGTATTGCCTATAATGATGTACTTTGAATGAAGCATGCAACTAGTAGTATGCTGTTGTGGAGAAATGTGTGTCTTATTTATTTTTCATTTTGTGAGACAGGCTCTTACTGTGTTATCCAGGCTGACCTTGAACTCACTGTGTAGCCCAGGATGGCCTTGAACTAAAAGCAATCCTCCTGCCTCAGCCTCCCAAGTGCTGGAGTTACAGACTTGTGCCACCATGCTTGGGTTATATTTTATTTATTTATTTTTTCAAATAATGTGGCTTAATTCCAGATGATACAAAATTCAGAGTAGACCAACTATCAAAGAGCAGACCATGGTACAATTGTAGGCTGGATTTCCTTTAAATTCACAGTTGAGGTAGGAATGACTGATTGAAAACTAGAGAGACAATGAGCCACTGTACCATCTGTCTTCCTTCCTTCCTTCTTTCCTTCTTTCTTACAAAATTTTGTTCTTAAATGTACAACAGACTCTGAGACCACACTTCATTGTAGTTACAAGTGTCAAAAGGCATTATGGCAAGGAACCCACATATTTGAATAGGAGTTGAGTTCAGGATCACCATCATCTTAGGCACAAAATGTTTATTTTTTGCTAGATTTCTTAATTCCCACTGTGGCTGGGGCTCTTTCTCACTGCCTTCATTTTTAGCTCCTCAGGTTCCTTCTGCACCTCTTTTTGCTTCCCTCTGAACACTCTGTCTTCCTCGTCTACCTCCTTGGCCTGTTTCTTGGGCTGCTTCAGGGCTTCTCCTTGCCAGACAAGGCACCCACGTACCCAGAAACCAGCTTAGCTTACATTTAAAGTTAAAACTTTTTTTTTTTAATTATAAGACAGGGTCTTGCTAAGTTGCCCTGGTTTAGCTTGAATTTGTGATCCTTCTGCTTCAGCTTCCCAGAGTGCTGGGATTACAGGTATGTGCCACCACACCCAGCTGAGAATATTTAATTACATATTGTGTGATAATGATGCATCCTATGGTTAAAATTTGTTTACTTTAAAAAATGAATCAACTAGGGCTGGGGATATAGCTCCTGAGTTTGATTCTGGTACCCCCTCCAAAAAAAACAAAGAATTAATCACTCATACATTTAACATCAGTGTGGTCCAGGTGGGTATGTATTTACATTTAAGACTACACAACAGATTTGTTAACTGTCAGGACGTTTTTTTCTTTCTTCTTCTTCTTTTTTTTTTTTTTTTCTTTTTAAAACAATCAGAAAATTGAGGAAACAATTGTACTTAATATATTTTCTTT